TGGAGGGTATCAAAGGGCCCTTGATACAGTAATACCCTCTCACTTCCGCTCTCTCTCTCTCTCTCTCTCTCTCTCTCTCTCTCTCTCTCTCTCTCTCTCTCTCTTTCTCTCTCTCCCTCCCTCCCCCACCGCGTTCACTGACCTGCCCTACAGAGCGCCATCTCTTTTGCTGCCGAGTTACACAACAACACCAACAAGCAATCATTTCTGGCTTTTGCGAAGACAGCCGGGCGCAGAAGCACCACCACCACCACCACCACCGCCATACCACTAACACCACCAGCACCACTGACGAGGCTCCTATAACAAACACCCCCCTCCAGTTCTCTCGACAAACACGTTGTTCCGCTTTTCCGCTTAGTGCCTTCCTCCCTCACTCTCCCTCTCTCTCTTTCACTCTTTCTGTCTCTCTCTGTGCCCCCACCGACGCCGCCGCCGCAGTTGTCGATATGTAACGGACCCGATTAAAAACTCCCGCGGAGCGCCAGAGCGGACACAACAATCGAAAAAGTATCGCGCGCGAAAATTGAAAGAAACTCTCGCCCTCCTTTTCCCCTCCGCCCCGTCCTGCTCGCGCGCGCGAGCGGTGCCAAACTGCGTCGGTGGCAAAACAGTCTTTATTTCTCCGTTTGGGCGACGGCGACAGGACGGTCGGTAGTCGGTAGGGGGCTGAGGGGGCAGGGGGAGGATGGTAGCTGGGGAGTGAGTGTATAGCCATCGACCGAAAAAGTCGTGCTGCACCAGATGTTGGTGGCCGCAGCGTCAGGGAAGGGCCACGGCCAGCCCTCCTCCCCCCTGCACTCGCTATAGACTTGCACCGGCCAGCCCCCCGGTCCCCCCCTTTAGCTTTCCCACTCTTTCCCCCGCCCCGACCTGCGCTGCCCACCCACTACAGAGTGTACTGTACGTACGTACAGGCCGCAACAGAGACAAGAAACAATGGCGCTGGGAAGGGCACAGAGAACACACTGGCCGCGTGGCCTGCTGCTACTGGACTGCACTGGCGGGCTGCAGATCGATGCTGCACTGCACGCTGGTGGCCGAAATGCACGATACACACAACCAGCGGCGGTCGTGACCGGACTGGGCTGCGAGCACACACACCAGCACACACACACACATCCACACAAGTGAGTGCTCGACAGTCCGCGCCCAAAACGGCCGGTTTGGACTGCGCTGCTGCTTGACCTCGTTCGCGGGCCTGCGTCTCAGACGACGGGCACAAAACAGAGTTTAAAACATGTATTTACCACTCGCGTCGAGGTCCTTCTCTCTCGGTGCGGTGGCGATCAGTCGTCGTTACCTGCAACACAGAAAGAAAAAAACATGCCATGAGCAAAACTGGGTGAGAAAAAGGACGGCGGCTCTCTGCGCACGCACCCCGCAGTGAGTGCACGTACCGAGCATGCGTATATGCACGCGCACGCGCGTGCATGTGGCGGGGCGGGGCCGCGTTCCACGCACGACCTGAACCAGGTTAATCTGGCCATCAGACGCAACACATCATGAGAGCGCGCGAGGGACGTCACGCTCGCTCCGGCGTGACACGGCGGCGGGCGGAGTGACGGGCGGCGTGACGGGCACGTCGCGGTGTGCGAAATGTAATGCAGTCGTCACTCAGAGCGGCTCGGCTGTGCATCTGTGTGTGTGTGTGTGTGTGTGTTGGTGTATGTTTGTGCGTGTGTGTGAGAGAGAGCGAGGGGGGCACAGAGCATGGTATGTGGGTAACAACGTGTGCATGAGGGAGAAGGATAGAAAAGAAGGGGGGAGCGAAGAGGAGAGGGAGAGCGAGAAACGGAGGAGAGAGGCGGGAGGGAGGGAGAGAGAAGGGGGGGGGGAGAGAGGGATTGGAGCGCAAGAGCCACCCCCGCGCAATCTGGCGGGCCGCTCTCGCTGCACGCGACACTGACGGCATCTCCGCGAAACAATTTGCCTGCTGTCCTTGCAGCAGCAGCAGCAGCAGCAGCAGCAGCAGCAGCAGCAGCAGCAGCAGCAGCAGCAGCAGCAGCAGCGACGGCGGCGGCAGCGACGGCGGCGGCAGCAGGCGCAAGGTCGCGCTTGGCGTCCAAACCTCCCCGAGCGGAACGCCCTCGGAACGCCCTCGCGGAACACCCCCGCCGCCGCCGCCTCGGCAAGGCCCGCGTGCTTTACGCCCCATGGCTTAGCCGGCGCACGCTGTGAAGAAGAAGAAGAAGAAGAAGAAGAAGAAGAAGAAGAAGAAGCTAACCCAAAATGTGGGTCATGACGAGCGAGGCGAGGTCAGGGTACGGTGCGCCAGCAGGTCGTGCAGGGTCTTTTGCTCGGCGAGGCGGTACAAGCATAGACGGCAGACCCATTTCGCGGCCATTTACGGTTTGCTTCCAGCTGCACCCCACCCCCGTCCCCAGGGGCGCTGCTGCCGAGCAGAGCTGCCGAGCAGCAGTGCGCACGCCAGTCATTTTACGGCGACCAGACCCGATATGTTTATTACTCGGACCAGACCACACAGGCGGAAGGGGTGGGGCGGGGTGGGGGTGGAAGAGGCGGCGGCAGCGGCGGCGGACCAAAGGAGGCGGCAGAGGAAGTAGTGGTGGCGGGGGCCGTGGGCATGAGTGGCGCTTCTGGGAATCGCAAGCTACACAGCAGCGCTCCGGACCAAGCTGGGCCGAGGAGCGGGGCGGGCCTGACCTATCCGTCCCACCCTATGGTCCCACCCACCCAGCCATAGACCAGCGAGCCCGCCACCGCCCCCACGGTACGCGGCCTGGCGGCGTGGCGAGGCGTCGAGGGGCGACGCGGGACGCGCGAGAACGATAGCATGTGTCCGCCCGGGACCGCGATATGTGTGCTCCAGGTAGGCGTCGTCGTGGGCCTCATGTCGTTTTCATCGCCATGCACCTCTCCACGTCCACCTGGCTGGTGCTCGCTCGTTCTCCCACGGACACAATCGGAGTGCATGCAAGCAGTACCGTACCGTGTGCCTCCCTCCTGTGAGGAGGACCCCAAGACAGTCACGAGCACAGACACACGGACACCACCCGCACCCCCACCATGCTACGATACGCTCCGCTCCCACGGACGACGACGACGACGACAAAAATCTTGCATTTCGAATGAGGCAATGAAACCTGGCACCCTTGCTCGTCTCCCCCCGTTTACGGCCCCGCCGGTGCAGCGGGCCTCCTCCTGCACCTCTGCCGACGCGTCCGGGCCCCAACGCCAATCCGTCTCGGATCATTAATTGGAAACGGCTGCCTGCCGCCCGCCC